GTACACACACATTATGTAAAAAAAAACTTTTATTTTGCATGCGATTAATCGTTTGACAGCACTAATATATATATATGTACTGTATATGTGTGTGTGTGTGTGTGTGTGTGTGTGTGTTTATATATATATATATGTGTATATATATATATTACAAATCCAAAGCCATACAGTAGTTTTTTTTATATTATTTCATTAATATAAATTAATGTCATATTCATTGAAGATCTTTGTCATTTTGGAGTCAAAATGACAAAGATCTTAAGACCCAATCCAAATTTCTTTGCTCACTCAGTCAGTCACTCATTCACACACGCTCATTCACTCTTTTGTCATTCTCCTGACAGGGTTACTGACGTGAACATTAACCAGCCGTCCATCTGTCCCTCTGCTGCTTTATCTGTGTCTCTCATCCTTGTTCTCATTTGCTTTTTCATTCTCAATTTCTCTCTCAGACAGGACCAGAGTATGGACAGGGCATGAACCCTATTAGCAGACTGGCTCAGATTCAACAGGCCAAAAAGGAGAAGGAGCCCGAATATATGCTGCTTTCAGAGAGAGGGATGCCTCGCCGGAGAGAATTCATTATGCAGGTAAATTTAATAAGAGAGGGAATGAAGAGGCGTAAAGTAAAATAAAAATTTGAAGGCCGAGAGGGGGAGTGAAGGACAGTTGAGTCCTGCACAAACACTGATAACCTCCCACTGTGCAATCTGTCTCAATCAGAAAGACTGTCACCTCCTCTGGCTCTGATTACCACTGACCTTCAGCTCTGTCAAAGTCAGACAGAGACTCTTTTGACACGCACACACACAGTTGCTCGTCCACTCTTGGAAATTTCATCTCATTGCTGAAGTTAATGGATAATTAGTCTTAATTTAGATCATTTAGGTGACGACAGTAATTTTCCCATGTAGGTCCAAGCAAAATTCAAAGCTTAAATACTAAACTTTGTGCAAAATCCTCTGCCTAGCTCAACATGCATGTGCATTTATGCCTTTGACATCTTGCATGAAGGTGTGCAAATACAAGGTTTGCATGAAAATTAATGATTGGTTTGTATTTAAATGTAAAAAAAAAAAAATCTACCCATTATTTTCTGATTGTTCACTGCATCACATATGCACTTAGCACACATCACATCACTGGCTGATGTCCACTGGTTTATTACAGGTCATTAAAACAACAATAACTGTACTGCTGGCTGCCCAGTAAAAAATTAACTTTACCTCATACAGTAAAAATTAAGTCCCCTGTAGCCATAAGAGCGGTGCTTAGTCCCTGTGAACAAAGATGCAAAAATACCAGCAGAATTGGCTCTAAATCACCTCGAATTTCCACATATGTTTAGAAATGCCTCCAACTTGGATCTACATTTGTTCTCTAGTTTTGAATCAAAGAACAGAAAGAATCAAAGATCGGAAATCATGCAATTTAGTTGACTTGCGCTTGCTAGTTGAGCATTGTGTAGTATTAGTGAATTAGAGCAGAATAGCGTTGTATCAAGTAGAGTAAATTAGTGTGGTATAAAAGTATAGAGTGCCATAGATTAGAGTTAAATATAACAGTATAGATTGTAGTTGAGTATAGTAATATGGAGTAGTGTGATAGATTTTGTATAGAATTGTATGGAGTAGATTCGATAAGATAGGGTAGTATATAGCAGATGTAGTAGTATAGAATAGTGTTGAAATGGTAAAGTAAATAGGATAGAATAGATTTGTGTAGAGTAGTACATAGTTGAATGGAGTTTTGTAGACTAGATTGGATATGGATTAAGTAGAGTAAACAGGATAGAGATGAGTTGTATGGAGTAGACTGGTGTAGAGCTATACAGAGTAGAGTATAGCTGCATAGAGTAAAGGCTTATAGAGTAGGATTGAATAGAGTTAACAGGATAGAGTAAATTTGTATAGTGTAGTAATAGAGTAGGGTAGAATATATAGGATGGATTGAGTAGAGTAAATAGATTAAATTTATTTAGTAAATTTCTATAAATTTTAGTAAATTTGTATAGTTTACAGTTGTATAGAGTGATGTAGAGATGTATAGATTTGAGTAAAGGTGTATAGAGTAAGGTTGAAGTAATAGAGTAAGGTAGAATAGAAATAATGGATTGAGTAGAGTAAATAGTGTACAGTGTTTTTTGTTAATTTGTTCAAATTTAAAGGGGTCCTATTATGCTTTTTCAACTTTAGGTAGTCTGTAATGTTGCTGTTTGAGCATAAAAAAGATCTGCAAAGTTTCAAAGCTCAAAGTCCAATTCAAAAGGAGATATTTTATTTAACAGAAATCACTTTTCAAAAACTACAACGAACGACTCGTTTGGACTACAACGCATATTTTCCGGGATTTGTGATATCGCAAATACCGACAAATGGGACGAGACCTGGTTAAGCTGCACTAGAGAAGGCAACGAGTGTTATCACTATGTCGGAGACACGCTAGCTTTCACAAGGCAGACGTGGTTTCCCAAGTGGTTACAATCATCCGGGTTTAAATTATGCTCATATTTATTTGATTTTGACGCAATATTTACACTGAAGCTCGCAGGCGGCTATGATAAGGGGCATGGCATTTCCCGACCAGGCGCCGAGTGCTGCCAATCACAACACACACTGGCCCAGCTAACCAATCACAGCACATGTCGAATTTCAGAAGGCAGGCCTTCATTTGATACAGGAACTATTCGAGCCGTTCATGCCAGACTGGGGAGAGAGGTGCTGTAATAATGTAAAATATGTGAAAAAGAATGTGTTTTTCGAACAACCTAGTATGAGAGCCTGTTCTAGTACACCCCCAAAACAAAATCAAGACTTTGTAAAAGAGCATAATAGGACCCCTTTAAGTAAATTTGTATAGTTTAGAGTTGTATAGAGCGGTGTAGAGTTGTATAGAGTAGGGTAGAGGTGAATAGAGTAAGGATGAAGTAATAGAGTAGGGTACAATAGATAGGATGGATTGAGTAGATTAAATAAAGTGAATTTATTTAGTAAATTTGTACAAAGTAAATTTGTATAGTTGAGAGTTGTATAGAGTGGTGTAGAGATGTCTAGAGTAGGGTAGAGGTATATAGAGTAAGGTTGAAATAATAGGCTACTTTCACACTGCAGGCAAATGTGGCCCAAATCAGATTTTTTTGCTCACATGTGACTCAGATCTGTTTTACTCATGACAGTGTGAACAGCTCAAACCACATGGAATCTGATCTGATTTGTGCCGCTTCCATATGTAGTACTAAATCCGATACAGGTCAGATGTTTTGCAATGCGACCACAGTCTGAACAGTCATATCGGAATTCATGTGACTTTTACGTCACTCTGGATCAACATTCGTAACGATTCTGTGCTCATGGGAATCACTTCAAAGATTTTACATACCCAAAGTTATCAAGTTGCGAAAGGTAGTCAGTGGAAGTACAGTGATGTGTCAGAACTCATAAGTATTACAGTGACAACTCTATATACAAGCGAAACATGAGGACTCGTATCACAAAAGTTAAAAAACTCTGCTCTCTTCTGTCACATCCTTGTCTTTATTTTTCACATTGCCTGCGCATAATTTTACTGGGTTCTGCAGCATATCACATTATAAATAAACACATAATCACCTTACTTTATGTTCTCCGTGTTTACTTCCGTATGACATGTTGCCAAGTCCATGGTTTTCCCATTGAATTGGGCTACGTTTTTGCTGTTGCTGTGGGTTGTTTTTCAACTATGTGGGTTGAAGCAACCCTATTAACGCAATATTTACCCTCTGAAATGCGATTGGGGTAGTTTTGGACTAGGTTTGAGAAGCAATTGGGCGGATTTTGTTGTGAAAACCTGGCAACCCGGTTCGTATTGTTTTTTTGCGGATACAGTTCTGATCAGAACCATGTTCTGTTCACACTGGAAATCTGATATTGGCCACATTTCACACAGCTATACAAAAAAAAATCAGATCTGAGCAAAAATCGTAATTGAGCACTCGCAGTGGGAACGTATAGCCATAGTGTAAGGTAGAATAGATAGGATGGATTAAGTAGAGTAAATAGAGTAAATTTATTTAGTAAATTTGTATTGAGTTGTATAGAGTGATGTAGAGATGTATAGAATAGAGTAAGGTTGAATATAGAGTATGGTAGAACAGATGAGAGCAGATCAGAATAGTATGGTGTGGAGTAATACATAGTTGAATGGAGTTTTGTAGACTAGATAGGATGAATAGTGTGTAGTAGAGTTGTATGACGTAGAGTAGTTTTGAGCTCTATAGAATAGATAGAATAGATGAGAGCAGATCCGAGTTAAATAGAGTAGTATTGCATAAAGTAGTACTTAGTTGAATACCATAATTAGGTTGAGTATGGTAGATTGGATACTATAAAGTAGATTTGTATAGAATAGTGTAGAGTTCTTTGGAGTGGAGTAGTTAGGGTGGAGTAGAATAGACTCAGAGTTAAATAAAATAGTCTGATGTAAAGTAATACAGAGTTAATGGAGTTGTGTAAACTAGATAGGATAGGATGTATTGGGGTAGAGACAAAAGGATATTGTAGAACTAAGTAAATTAGCATAAAGTGGAGTAAGTAGTGCAGAATAGAAGGATGGGTCAGAATGGAGTGCAAAGAAGAGAGTTGACTATTGAAAAAAGTTATTTTCCTGCTGGGAGGGAAGCCGCAGTATTTCAGCAGCATAAATAGTACACTGAACACTGCAGTAAATAAATAAAAAATCATGTTGAGTCTCATTCTGAATGATCTGTCAGAGGCTCATCCAGCTCTACCACACACATAAACAAGTACCAAGCAGCATCCAAGTTGGAGAAGTTTCTCTTCCCTGTCTCCCGTCCGATAATCCCTCGCTTTAAAGTGCTCCGTGCATCTCTGAGCGTGCGGTAACACAGCCTCTAACTGATTCTCCATGCTCCTTTCACTGTCGCATTAGACTCTGCTTGTGTGTGTTTCTTTTGTGTTGCCCAGTCGCTTCTAAAATTTCCACATTGTTCGCTCTCTGGTCTGTGGGCATCAATACGTGTCTGTTTTCAGGCCCACGCCATCTTTCCCACCTGCTGCTTTGCTCCTAATAAATATGAAAAGATTGTTGTCTGGGTTTAGAGACAGTTTTTTGACAACAAAATGTTTTTGAGAGTGTAGTGCTACCGATTGGGTGTTGGTTGTGCTTTCTGCCAGATTCAGACTTTTCTTTCATTATTAAAGTTGTTTTACAGGCAACATAGGTCATTTTTACATTTTAGATACATTATTGTTGATTATTTTATTAACAATCCTGGTTTTGTACACTGTATGTGTCTTTGTTGACAGGTGAAAGTAGGTACCGAGGTGACCACAGGAACTGGACCCAATAAAAAAGTGGCCAAGCGTAATGCAGCTGAGGCCATGCTGCTTCAACTGGGCTACAAGGCATCTACACCATTACAGAACACTCCGGAAAAGGTCAGTTTCAGTCAAGCTGCTAGTAATTATTATGGTACAACGAACATGTAATTTAAATGAGTCAAAGTAGTTGGCTACACTACAAGCTACTAAGCAATTAAAGCTATTCATACTTTAAAAATCAAAGATTTATCACAAAATCATGATACTAATTAAGTATCTTAGTGTTCATAATTTGGGAACACATTTTACACAATAATAATGAATAAAGCAAAAATGTCTATGAAGTATATATAATTATACAAGTACATATAAATATAAATTATATTTAAGTAAATGTAAGTAAATAAATTATATATTATAGAATAAATATATAA